ATTTTTTTTTTTTTTTTTTTTTTTTTGGAAAAATATTTTTGTCTTTTTAAAAAAAAAAAAATTTAATTACTTACATTTCTATTTTTATCATTATAAATTAACTATTTTAATGTAGCACAAAAATAAAATAGGTTAAAAAAATTAATTTATAATGTTAATGTTTCCTTAATATAATAATATATTTCAAAAAAAAAAAAAAAAAAAAAAAGTTTAGTTTTAATATTACCTTTATAACCTCATAAAGATAGTATAATAAAAGTTACAAAATATAAAGAAAAACTTGTAAATAATTTTAAATTATGTTAAGCACGGAAGTTAATAACTCGATTATTTCTCCTGATTTATCATGTGATAATTCCCATGCCAAAAAGTACGATGCTACCTTAAATGTACATAATTATAAAGAAATTCACAATAATCAAATAGTTAATCATGAAAGTAAATCAGGTAGTATGAATAATATAAGAGACAATAATAATGTACCCCTTTTTCATTTAAAATCATCTGACAATTCAAGAAACAACGATCTTTATTATAATAACAATTTAACTGACCATAATAACCCAACAGAATTTAATCAATACAAAACTAATGTATGTAATCATAAAGATTCTAACTATAATCAATTAAAATATAAATATCCAGATCATTTCACTTATAACAATAAAGAAAACTTAAAGGAAAGTGAAACTTCTACTTTATACAGGAAACATGAAGAATATCAGTTACCTCAAAACATGAATAGTGGTTTTTTATCCCATAAATGTAATAGTATGATTAGACATGAACAGGGTAATGATATATCATATGAAGAAAGAACTAAGTATAACAAAAAAAAAAGTAGTTTTAATGAAAATATTATAAATAATAATTATCCTAATCATCAATATGATTATAAAGATAATGATAACAACAAAAATATTGATAATAAGAATTTAGATATTATCCACGATAGCAATATCGATAATAAACATTATAGTAGCGATAATTATAATATTAACAATAATAATACCAATATTAATATTAATAATTATAAGAACAATGAAGTTAGTAGCAGTAATAATATTAATGACGTTTATTATAAAAATATTAATGATTCTTATCAGAATGCTAATGATAAGCAAAGTAATTATGAAAGAAATATAAGTAACTTAAATAATGGAAAATCTGTTAATTCTATTGTACATATAAATTTAATGGAAAAGAATATTCCATATAAAAATGACGTAGTGGGTGATTTTCAAAAAAGTAATATAAATTATGACAAAGATAAAAAAAGCTTAAATGGTTTTACAAGAGATGAATTATATGGAAGTGCCAGTATTAATAGAGAAAGAAATATGAATCACACAAAAATATTTGACTATGTTGAATCTGACAATGATAAAAAACATAAACAAAAAAATATGATAAATACATTTGTTCCTAAATATAAGAATTTATCAGCAAAAGAAGTACATTATAATAGTTTATCTGGTAATGATAACATAACTGTTTTAGCGGCTAACCAAATAAAAATAGATTTGAATAGGTTATCTGAAAAAAGTAAAGACATTTTACCAAATGTTTATCCATTTAATTTGTCCAGTGATTTTAAAAATGATAAGAAAAATGAAAATAAAGCTCAATTAGAAAAATTATATCCAACCAATTATAATTACATAAATAATTATAATAAAAATAATTCTGATATATCATTAGAGCAGAGAAGGTATAATATGAATTCAAGTCGTATATTTGACTGTGATTATGATACCAAAGAGGGAAATTCTGAAAAATTTAAAAGTGAAACAAATATATCATATAAACATAAGGGAGATATAGAAAAAGTAGATATAGAGAAAGAAGAAAAACGAAAACTAAATCCAATGTATAGTGATCTATTTGGTAGGAAAACACCTGATATAAATCAAAACGCAAATTATGAAAAAATTATGCCAGCTACTATGAAAAATAATTGGATATATGATGCTAGAAATACAAAAAAATATTCAGAATTATATTTTAAATCTTCCGATAATTTAGAATATAACGGAACAGAAAAATTTCATAGAAAATCATATTTTGATAAAGATGGATATGATAACAAAAAACGACTTCAGGATGCTATACAAAAAGGTTCAAAAATATCATTACAAGCACATTTACAATCAACTTTACAATGTGAAAATAATTATAATCCTAGTGATTATAATAACGTTGAGGCATATTATTTATCTTTACATAATATACGTGATTCAATTACTGATGAAGAGGTAAAAAAAGTTATAAAAAATAGTAATGCACACATAGTGTCTTATGAATCAGAATATGATTTATTAAGTAACAAAAGAAAAAATAATGCAAAATTATGCATAAGACATAATAAGGGGAAACATGGGTTAATCTTATTAATGAATTTGTTATCACAATTAGATATTAAAGTTACAGTTTTATAAAAATATACTTCATCCTTTTAATTTATTTTACTTATTGTTTGACTTTTTTTTTTTTTTTTATTTTTTTTTTTTTTTTTTTTTTTTTTTTTTATCTTTTTAAATTTTTTTTTTTGTTAAATCCATATTAACTATTCAGGAAATATCCATTAAAATATATGATTTTTTTTTTTTTTATTTTTCTTGTTTATAGTAAAAACATTTTGAATAAAAATTACATTTAAAATTAAAATTAGTT